TTAAAGGAAGATTCATCAACAATCTGTGTTATGCAGATGACACAACCCTGCTTGCTGAAACTGAGGAGGACCTGAAACACTTGCTGCAGAAGGCCAAGGACTGCAGCCTTCATTATGGATTGAGGTTCAATATCGAGAAGACAAAGATTCTCACCACTGGGCCAATTGGCAGCATCAGGATGGATGGTGAAGAGATTGAGATTGTTCACAACTTTAGTTTGCTTGGCTCCATAGTTAACACTCTTGACACCAGGAAATTAAAAAATGTATTACAATGGAAAAGTCTGCTGATAGGGACCTCTCCAAAGTACTGAAGAGCAACGGTGTCACTCTGGAGACTAACGTGTGCCTGATGCAGGCCATGTTCTTTGCAATCACTTGCTATGCATCAGAAAGCTGGATAACGACTAGGGAAGATAGAAGGAGAATTGATCCCTTTGAGCTGTGGTGCTGGAGAAACGTATTGAATATACCATGGACTGCTAAGAAAACAAACAGGTTCATCCTTGAGAGGGTTAAATCAGGCTGCTGTTTGGAGGCAAAGATTCTGAAGTTTGTCTGACATACTTTGGATATGTTGCAAGGAGGGACCAGTCTTTGGAGAGGGACATCATGCTTGCTAGGGTGAAGGGACAGCACATGAGAGGAAGACCCTCTACGAAGTGGATTGATTCAGTGACTGGGGTGATTGGGGTGGGTGTGTCGGAGACAATGAGATTGGCACCAGATAGGTCAGGGTTTAGGGCTGTTGTAAATAGGGTTGGTATGAGTCGCAGGTGACTTGACAGTACATAACAATAATCTGCAAAGGATTGGCTAATCTTATAAATAAATCAAACAGCTCCAGCTGTAGAGATGAATTCTTCATCCACCAGTGGAGGAGGGACACCCTCAACCCAGGTAAAAAGAAGCAGGAAAATAAAGAATTTACTTGGAGAGAGTATCAGTAGCCATGGTTGAACTGAACACATGACGTGAGATGAGATGAGACCTTTGTGAGATGGAGAGCCAATACTGGCAAGACTGAGAATTTTGTCAGTGGGCCAGTGTTGGCAGGCCTGAGTACTTTATTGGATTATTAAGGGAAGACACAATATTGGCAGGACTGAGAACTTGGCCTGAAGGTACAAGGCTTGGGTCTGAGGTCCCTGTGTGCAATTTTCAAGAGCTGTCTTGACTGTATTTTGTTATTCATCTAAATTATAACCTTTTGTCTTCCCCAATATGCTTCTGTGTGGTCTGTGAGCTGTCACATCAGATTTTGGACCTACTAAAGCAGTAAAACTTGCCAGAGGGTCTGTATGACTTGGTTCTGACTCTATAGTACACAATAACAACAAGGTAAAAGGCTTGGTGTTGAGATTAGAAGAAAGAGGTATGAGAGTGTGGGGGACATGTCTAACTTTGATAATTGGTTTTGTGTTATTGATGTTGTGGACAGGAACAGCTTCTTTGTGACGCTGATAAAGGTCAGACATGGCTGTCTCCACATAGCCCTTGTTCTTTTTACTGTATGAGTTAACAATTTATTCTATTAGTACTATAATGTTCAAATTCTTACTTTTCATCTATTCATTTCAGCCATATTATACAAAATTGTTTTGCTCTGAAGACTCTCAAATCCAGCAGCAGCACTGAGTGGCAAAGTATGGCAATTTTCTTCCATCCAATTTACAGCCTCGGAGACCTAATGAAGGGTCAACTATGAGTTGGGTCTCCCTCAGGGGCAGTAAATGACACAAAACACAGAATAAAACCCATTAAAGGAAAAAGAATCAGTACACTTTTGGGTTGCATATATTGTAACTTACTTGGATTTTTCTAGCTTTAACCTAAATTCATAGCTTAATTGGTTTCTTGAATTAATTTACTTGTTTAAAGAAGACAATAGTTATAGTCACTGATTTTGAGATATTTTACCTTCATTACTATAAATACTGTGTTCATAAATTATAATATTCTGCACTTCATTAAAAATGAACAATCAATTTCAACTTTAATATTTTCATACAATAAAAAATAGACACTGTAGGTAGATACAACATGAGTTGCTTTAATTGATCAAAATACCTTAAGTTTGCTTTACAGATTAAGGAAATAATGGTTTCTATTCTATTATCAGATTTAAACAAAGAAAAATTAAAATAAGTTCACATTTTAAAAAATTAGAAATGAAAAATACATTGCCACAGTTACCACTAGTTCTACATACATTGGATTACATTTGAACGAACAATAAATTCCAGTATCGATGTCTGATGAATAAAAACACTGGAAACTAGGAAAATAAGCATATTCAACATAGTCGGGTTTTTCCACTAATTACATACAAGTAGCACACCTGTTTTAAAAGCTAGTCATCATCCAAACTATGTTTTGATAATGAAGTTGGTGTTTAAAACATATTACATTTTACCATTTCTTTTTTATTACGACACCAAAAAAGATTTCAACTGGCAATTCAGCATTGAGGAGTTTAACTACTAATAGCATTTAAAAACATTACATTTTATTTATACATAAGTCCAGAATTAACATGGGATAGAAATGAATTACCTAAGCTAGCAGACTGTACAAAAGGATAGCATTGGCCATTGAAGAAATCTGATTTCAACTTAATTATTAATAAGTACACAATAAAAAGACTTGAAAATTATTTTTTAACAAAATATTTTCTGATAACTCAAAGTTTTGTACTGTCATTCGTTTGTGACTTGACAGCTTGTCTAAAATAAAGTTGAAATGTGTGAACATTGCAAAATAACTGAATTTACCATTTTTAATAATAAATAGGTATTATGTAAGTCTATTTAAAAGAATTATCGTATAATTCAGACAATAGAAAGTCCAGAACAGCCTGTGTTCCTTTTAACAATTTGAAATGAAATAGTAACATTATAGGAAGAGATAAATTATACATGTATTGGCAAGACCATTAAAATATGTTAATTCTTTTGGATTTAGATAATTATCATGGATTATTTAAAATGAAATCTGAACTTACCATCTATTCTGAGCATAAGAAACAAAAATTAATGACTAAATTATCAGTTTAATTCACTTTAACAGATTGACATAGTTAAAACCTTATATATACAATTACTTCTCTCCTTAAAACTGGCTTTCACTAATCAAAGGCATTTTTGGTTCTTTAGTATTTTCAGTAGAAATTAATATTTAGAGAATTCTAATAACATTTAATAATCACTTAATACCATTACCACGACTCTTTCTATCTTAATTGAATATTTCATAAACAATTGACAATTTTTCCTCAATATTGAAATTCTTCACTGATTCTTATTATCATAAACTTTAATTCTATAAAAATATTCTGCTTCTAAAAAAACCTGACACATTGTAAAATTATAAACTTATAGTGTTTGTCTGTTTTTAAAAAGCACATGTAAAATATATTTATACATTGAAAGACAGTAAATCAGTGTTTGTTGGGAAATTAAATCAGTAAGAGTAGAAGCTTGTCATGTATTTCAATAAAATTATTTACCTTTCCTGGATTAGAATGTAAGTTCATCGTTAAAATAAAATAAAAAAAAATGTCAATCACACTTATTATTAAAGTGTGAATCATCATGGCTAATATATTTAATATGACAATGGTCTTGAGTTTTTAAAATAAATATTTTATGTCTTACTACAGAAATTTTGCATCTTTTAGATCTCAAATTTCTGATTCTGTTATCTGGTTGTCATGAGAATATTTACCAAAAATAGAATTCCAGACCCTATTTTATTGTCAAATAAGCCCAGAAACAGTATGAAATATTGAAATGCATATTATTTTAAAAAAATACTTCCAGATGTACACATCTGATTTGAAAGTATAAAATAGAACACCAGAGTATTTACAAGTTCATTTTTCATAACAATATTTTTACAAACTCCCACAAATCGAAGAAATTCTTCATTGAAATCCTTCATATGAAATAACTGTTAATTCATTTAGATTGTAGAAACAAAAGGGGCAAGATTATATTCACAGATACACTCCCTGTTGTTGAGTTGGTTTTAATGCCTAGTGGCTCTCCATTGGTTTTCCCTAACAAAACGAGACAGATCGTTTTCCTCCCAAGGAGCTGCTGGTAGATTGGAACAGCCGGATAGAAGCGGCCTTTGGGTTAGCAGCACAACTCACTATGGGACTATCCCTCCTACAGGAAAATAGCTGGCCAGGTGATCTGTAGTATCTACCAAGATGTCTCCCTAATGATACAGAAGAAGGCTCACACCTCATACATCCTGGTCACCAAGACTCAAAGATAAATATTACACAGGATATAATGACAGCACAGGGTATAATTATGATGTAGCAGCAAATAAGTAGCCCATAATAATTCTGTAAATTTGTTTCCTTTTGGAAAATAACTAAATCCTTATTTTTTTATTTTATTTGAGATGTTCAAGAGGGCTAAAATACCTTTGAGGGGGAGTGAATCAAATCTACTATGAATATAAGATTTTTGTTTGTATATTTTAAAGCTAATATTTTCTCTCATGTCAATGGACTTTATCTGGATATCTTTAGAAAACAAGAGTTGAGTGATGTCCTATATGTATAATGAACTGCAGTCTTGTTCATTCATTAATTCATTCAGTGGTGTGCTGATTGGCTCAAACCAGCTCACAAGAGTTGTGTTTGTTCATCTCTTCTCGATACCACATTCGAGGATGTCAAGTTGGTCACTTGAAATTGGTCAAGTAATGGTGACTATTTACACCAAGGAATTGGCAAATCTTACAAATCAAGGTTGAGTATATTTTTGGCTGGGTTGTTTTGTTTTTTTTTCTTTTTTTTTTTTTTTTTTTTTAACCCTCATGAAGCTGATTGTTCGATATTTACCAACACAGTTCTGAATTCATGTGAGAGTTTTCCTTGTGGTATTCAAGAAAGTCATTTACTATTGACATACCCTATCTATGAAATCATGGGACCAAATCCTTGAAATAGGAGTGGTACCAAATAGTTAAGCACTAATCTTTCTATTATTAAGCATAAAACTTCTCTGGTTTAAAAATAACATTTTCAATATCATTGATGCTTTTTCCATTTGAGTGTTCACTAGGATAATCATGATTGTAACCTTGACCATCACTGATGGTTGACACAGTGTAAGATGCACTACGGAGAGCTTCTGTGTGGGAAAAACTGTTTCCAAATTGGATTTTGTATTGATTCCAGTTTCTTCTCAAAATTGCTTGAACCTGTGTATCAAAAAGCAGAGAGAACAAAAGTAATCTATTAAATATAATGTTGATCTTGCATTTAATTGCAGAATATATTAACTATGAAAGCACTGGTGCTAATTAGTAATTGATATTTCTCTCTTAGTTAAAACATAGCTCAGACACAAAAGGGCAAATAATGCATAATACCATTGTTATAAAGCAGAACTTATGGGGGGTTGTGAGAAAAATAGAAAAAAGAGTGAACAGATAATTAACGCCACATTGGAACAGATGAGGTAAAGAACAGTTTAAAAGAAATATATAATTAGCAATATGTCTATGACAGCAGTCTAGAATAAGAAGTTTATTGGGTCTGAGAGAGGGGTATAGATAGGAGAGGGAAGAAATTGTACAACAACAATGAATATTTAAAACAAACAAAAAATCCATTACAATGAATAAGTCATATTCACATTAGGAAATAAATGTAAATATTTTAAATTTTCAAATGAAATTAAAATTGTTCTTTTCATGATTTATCTTTTAAATCATATGAACACGTATGCATGCCCTGTTATTAACCTCAAGATCTTGCCTTAATTTAATATTGTATGTTCAGTATCCAATTTGTGTCAACATGTTTGGTACAAAAATGAGAAGATAACTACTGATAACTTAGAAGAGAGGAAGAGAAAGGAAAAGAAGTTATGGATGCAAGGAATGCCAATCATCAACAACAGCACAAGTGTTGAACATTAGTGTTGAAAGCTGGAACTAACTCATAGCTGACTGTGCAATACGTTTTCAGAGGCAGTGAATCATATGGGAGGTCATGGCTCGTCATTCTCCTGCAAAACAGCTGGTGGGTTCAAATCAAATGCAATTCCTTACCACTAAACCAACAGAGCACTGCAGCAGAAGTAGCAACCCATTAATGAGTGTTTGTCTTATGTCAAGAATTGTGTTACATTTTGAAAAATGGAAGTTTTGTCCTCAGTGAATTCAGTATCCAAAGGAAAGAAAGTTATTTTAAAAATAATTACACCATTATTGTAGAAATAGAAGGATAATTGGTAAAACATATATGGGAGCTTAAGGGGAGGAGGGCTGAGGGTGGGTAGGAGTGGAGCCACAGGTTGCGCAGTTTAGTGTGTGTGTGGGAGAAATGGGGGAGGGATGTGGGAGGGAGGAGATGGGAAGGGTCCAGATGAAGAGACAGGGTAATGATGATCCAATGGTGATTAAACTGAGGTAGACCATCCAGAGTGAACTTACTCTTATTGAACACAGGACACTAAGGCAATTTCTTATCATTCATTAAGTGGAAAGCAAGTAAATGTTTTCAATTATATCTACAATTTACTCATTTGAACATTTCCACATCTGATGAGTTACTTGATAACTTTGAGCACTCTGTTAAGAATGCAGGTCACAGCTGGTGGTGTTGAAATTATTTTCTCCCAGTTGGCTCCTGTCTCTGACTCTATGATTGCTTCCCCAAAGGAAATGTGATTATCTGAGAGCACTGTTAACGATAATTTATACATTACAAACACATTCAGGAAATAATTACTAGCTTTCTACTAATTAGATGCAATTTCTGAACTTCTCACCATAGACACATGTTAAAACAATAAAGTGTAAAAGTAGGCTCACTTCATTGGCTTGTTTAAAAAATATTGTCTAAGTGATGAAGAAAGCTCAATTATCTTAATAACGCACATTTTATAGAGGAAAACTGCCTTCTGAATGTTTGCAGCTATGTAGGAACTGTCAAAGTTTGGTCAGAGTCTGATATTTCTTTCTGTTTATTTATTTGCTGTAGTGTTTTTATATTATTATTATTATGTTTCATTTATGCACTTTGTTTTTCTCCACCATAGTTCTCTGACATTTTATCACTTAAAATAAACACAAAGTTTTACTGTCTTATGTCAAATTTTAGCATGAGCAAAAGAGGGAGCATTGACAATAGTTTGGACTGAAAACAAATTGTTAGAATTTTTAGTTATCTTTCCCCTCTACTTAATTAAAAAAACCCAAAAACTGTGCTGCTAAAATAGAATAAATGGGTTTCAGAAGTTATATTATTATGAAATTTGGTAATTTTAGAACTTTCAAGCTTCTTTTTATACTTTAAGGAAATGATTTTTATTAATGCAAATTTTCTTAGAAAAGGAAAACATTTTTAAGGTATTAAGAGTATTTACAAAAATGCATTCTTTTATTTTAGTAATGAATTTCTAAAATTTTAAAGAAAAGTAATTAAAGTAATTTAAAAATAAATTCTATCTGCAGAATGATGCTTAGGATATAAGCAAGTAGCAAATGGAGAGCACCTGAAGTATGAATTTGAAATAAATAGAAATCAAAACCAAAAATGACTTTTGGCAAATTAACTAATTTCTAATGTAGTCATTTATGGATCCTGATGTTTAATTTTAATTTCTTATAATTTTGTTACTAAATTCTGGATGAGTCAAGTACATGATCTATACTATTGCTTGCTTTAAAGCCTTGCACAAATAAATGGTACAGGAAGATATTTCTTAGATGTGAGTGTAGTACCTATAGTTTTTAAAAGGAAACCTTTGATTCAGCTCTGAAAGCCAAACTGGCTTTTGAAATATGTTTGTTTCTGAAATATCTGTTTTGATTAAGGTCATCACCCTATTTCTTCCTTACAACTAGATCATCAGAAAAACCATTGAAAGCCAATTTCCTGGACTGTGAATACTTACTAACGCTAAAAAGAAACCTAATTAAAGGCTCACAGTCTGAGTGGAGGTCTGTTTGCTTATTTCATTCGCTATAAGGATGTTATGTTTTTAATTTATTTCCTTTAATACAACATCCCACCTATTAAACAGAAAAGTGTCCACTCTTCGTAACTTTTAATGAGGATAAAAATTAATGGGAGTAGGTAACAAGGGCAATTACCATTGGAAGGAAATATATTTTGGTGTCATAAAGATAAGAAAATGTATCTCATTATTTTATGTATGAGTATTATGCAATCACTTGTTATGCATCAGAAAGCTGGACAATATGACTAGGGAGGATAGAAGGAGAATTGACGCCTTTGAGCTGTGGTGCTGAAGAAGAGTATTGAATGTACCATGGACTGCCAAGAAAACAGATTTATCCTAGAGCGGGTTAAACCAGGCTACTCCTTGGAGGCAAGGATTCTGGGGCTCCGTCTGACATACTTTGGACATGTTGTAAGGAGAGACAGGTCCTTGGAGAGGGACATCATGCTTGGTAGGGTGGAGGGACAGCGCAGGAGGGGAAGACCCTCTATGAGGCGGATTGATTCAGTGACTTGGGTAATCGGGATGGGTGTGTCAGAGGCAATGAGATTGGCACAGGATAGAGCAGGGTTTAGGGCTGTTGTACATAAGGCCGGTATGAGTCACAAACGACTCGACGGCACATAACAACAACAACATTATGCAAAAACCAAAGAATGACTGTTTAGAATATAACTTTATATCCTTAAACACCCTTTATATACCCACCAGCCCTTGATGAGGATCTATACTTCTTAATCTAATGTAGATAAAAATTTAAATCATTTAACAGAGCTCAGTGTAAAAATTGTGCCTAGTTCACATAACGGAATGTGATTTTGTTATTCTCAACAAATCTATGTGCTGACTTAAAATATCCAGTTGAAGGTTTTACTAAGTATAGCCAAATACTGACTAGAGAGGGCCTTTCCTAAAACTGAGAGTCGCTAATCCTCATTTCACACTGTATATGTTTATCTGAGTGGAATAAGGATGTGACAACTCAAGCCACAGTTACATAACTAGTGAGAATTAAAAACAGAAGATACAGCTAGAACATAAAATAAATACAAAGGTGTGGGGTAAAAAAAAAAAAAGATAAAGGAAAGAGAGACAGAGACATCTATTTGTTTTGACCAGACCTGAAAGGCAACGAGGAAATTAAGCCTAAGTGTTTTGAGGACCAACATGATATAGTTGGAAGCACACAATAAATTTGGCAGTCATGTCTTCATGTTAAGTAAGGAGGATATACTAAGGAGCAAAAAGATAAAAAGAGGGGGATTCTAGTACTTTTCAAAATGAAAAATGAATCATGCATAAACAAGATTTGTCTCTCCAGAGACGAGGAGAAGGGGACAAATATTAGAGATGTTGTAAAGAATGGGAAGATTTGGCAACCATCTGGTTTGAGGATTTCATACTGTTTTATTTTTTCAGTGCCAGAGTTTCTCAACATGGCAGATGATCAAAGTTCTGTGTCTCCTTTGCTTATACAAATAAAGTGTAACAAAAGTGTTCAGTATTAGTTTAGTTATTCCCTAGACATACTTTCTAGATAAAAGGGTCAATTTGGTATTTTTATTGCAATTTAGCTAATCTTCCCATTTGTACTTGTATTTTTTTTTTTTTAAATAATCATTTGAGTTCTGCTGGCCTAGTGGTAAGAAGCTGCACCACAATCCCAAAAAACCATTGTGGTTTGGATCGACCAGTTGCTCCGCAGGAGTAGGATGGACAAACTCCTCCGTGATTTACTGCCTCTGAAAACTCACTGGAGCGTCAGCTATGGGTTGGTTCCAACTCGATGGTACACAACGACACAATAGTAGATTCTGGGAGTGTATTAGATGTATCGAGGGAAATGAGGTGGGAGCTCTGTGGTCTAGTGGTAAGAAGCTGCATTCCAATCTCACAGGCACACAGTTCGAATCCAGCGATTGCTCTGGGGGAGAAGGATGGAAAATCTCTTCCTGTGAGATGTACTGTCCCTGAAAACTCACTGGCGGTACGGTTATAGAGCTGCTTCCTACTCAAAGGCACACTAAAATGGCAGGAAGCTGCACTACAATCTCGAAGGTATGCAGTGTGAGACCACCAGCTGCTCCATGGGAGAAGGGTGGACAATCTCCTCCTATGCAGTTAACTCTGAAAACCTGCTGGAGGGTCAGCTATGGGTCATTCTAACTCTATGGTACACAACAACAACAGAGATAAGGAGTCTCTGAGTCATCTAACAATTAAGAATTCAGCTACTAACTGAAAAGTAGATACTCTGAAGCTCTTCAGAGAAAATACCTGGTGATCTGCTTCTGAAACATAACAATCACGAAACTGCAGGGAGTGTGATTCTACTGTGCAACACATTAGATCGTTTGTGAATTAAAGTTGACTAGAGGACAATTTGTAGCTATTGACAACTGAAGATGAAGCACAATGTCAAAACCTACATTTTCTAATTTATTTGAGGAAAAGTAGAAGGTCTGAAAAATATGGGAACTCTCATCAAGACAGACAACAAACAAGAATGTTGGAGACCCTGAGAATGGAAGCTCCTGGGCACGGTGGAGATCGTGAGAATGGCAGAGGAGAGCACAAGGCTTCCGCTCAGTGACACCTCACAAGAGCAACAAGCAATTTACATTCATCTTGGTAGAACTCATAAGAAATCTGCTTTAACCACCATAACGAGTGGACTTCAAGATCCTTGAGGCTCAGCACATTGCCCAAGGCATGACAAACTGGAAAGAAAGTGCATACTTGGGGGTTAGACATATTTCAGTGTCAATGGCTTTGTTCTATATTCTCTCCTATCACAAAAGTTTTAATTAGTAATTATGTTTTTTTCACAATTAAAAGTCATATTTTATAAAAATGAGTCTATTCCTCTGGATACGGATGTGCACCTTTTACAATTCATGTGTGATAGTTGACATTTTGTCCACATCACTCCTAAGATGCAAACTCTCTGATTTTGTGAAGGTCCCAACTCAAATAAAATATCTTTTGACTTTCTGAAGCTGGATATCTTAATGGGAAGACACCACTCATTCCTCTCCCATGGAGCAGCTGATGAATTTGAACCTGTGACCTTTGGGTTAGCAGCACAATATAACTCCCTATGTCACAATAGTTCTTGGAATCATTGTTATCTATATTTAATAGTAAGATCACATATGGGCAGCATACTAGATTGTTTAATTCTGTCTATACGATCACTTTATCAATTCAACAATTATCAATCCCGTTGCTGTCAAGTCAGCATTGCAGGTCCTCCCATGGGTTTTTCCACAACTGTAGTGGTTGTCTATCTTCCTTCTGCAGAGCTATTGGTGGACAACTTCCTACATATTATGCCAGCAGAGCTCCTTAATAACATTAGAGAGGAACATAATAAATGTTGTTTGAGCTTATTAGCATAGCAAATGATTTATCTGCTCTTCCTAATTGAATTTTTAGGCTGTGCTTTAGGTTTGTTGAGTTGATTCCAACTCAAAGCAACCTTACATACAATAGGACAAAACATTGCCTGATCTTACGTCTTTTCACAATCTTAATATACTTGAATTGATAACTATTGTCAGTGTGTCAGCCTACCTGATTGAGAGTTTTCCTCTTTTTAACTAACTCTCTGCCAGTTGTGATGTCCTTCGCTAAGGACTGGCCCCTTTAAATAAATCATCCAAAGTATTGAAGTCAGTCTTTAAGAAGAGTTCTAGGAAACTTCCCTCAAGACAGATTTATTTATTATTCTGTCAGTCCACACAATATTCATTATTCTTCACCAACACCATCATTTAAAAGCATCAATTCTTTGGACTTCATTATGGTTTTGCATACATATGAGCAACTGCAAATATAACCCTTTACTGTTGAGTCATATTCAATTCACTGTGTCTCCTTGTGTTACAGAGTTTAACTGCTCAAATAAAACCACTACTATTAAAAACAAAACAAAAATCTGGATAGAGTTTTGGATACAGAAAGAATAGACCTAGTAGGGCATTATGGGGTGATGGAGGAGAGTTGAAAATGAATGAGTAGATAATGAACCCTTTATTGAAATAAGTTAAAGGAAAGATAAGTGTAATGAAAGGATAATAATTTTGTGTATTGTGATTAGTGATATGGAACAAGACATGCATGATTGATGGACGGAAAAACATGTAAGGAAAGGTTTTCACACAGAAATTATAGTGGAAGGTCGGCAGGGGTAAGGAGGGAAGAATGGGGAACAGACTAGTTGATGAAAGGATTGGGTGAAGGAGTAGCCGGGGACAGGGAGGATTTGATGAGACATTGTAATAAGTGGTAATGGTAACTTGGAAATAAAGCTAGAAACAAAATATCTAACAGTGATTGGATGAAAATCTATTTAAAAATAATTTTTAAGATATTTTCTTGACTGTAATCTTTTGGAACCAGTTAGCCAGGCTTTTCTTCTGTGAGGTGAAAATGGACAGCTTTGAATTACTTACTCCCTTAACTATATAAGAATAAAGTATTTTGATAACACTGAAGGACCTGTTTATAAGAATTATCACTACTAATTTGCATAAGAAATATGTAATTTTCAAAGTTCTTGAACCTTCCAAATTGTTCAAACTTTCAATGAGAATCTAGAAATATTCCTGAATACATTGCAATGTTACAAATTAAAAGTGTCATTTTTTATTCCAAATATATCTGATTGAAGGCTAGAAAGTATCAGAAAGATGTTTACATGTATCTTATTGCCTATGAAAAGGCTTTTGGCTGTGTGGATCACAATAAGTGAATATCTTTTGAGAAGAACAGGAATTCCTGCACACTTCATTGTGCTTAGGTGCCACATGGACATGAACCAAGAAACAGTGGCTTGAACAGAACAAGGAGTACAGGATGCTTTCAAATGAAGAAAGATGAACACTAGGGTGATATGCTCTCACCACATCTATTCAATATGCACACTGAGCAAATGATCTGAGAAGACAGACTATAAGTAGAAGAATGTGGCACCAGGATTGGAGGAAGATTCATGAACAGATTGCATTATGCAGATAACACAATTTTTCTTGCTGTAAGTCAAGAGGACTTGAAGCACTTAATGATCAGACTACACACTTCAGTATGGAACATTAAAAAACCCCATAAACCTTCACAAAGACACCAGTAGGTAATACAAATAGAAAACCGATTGAGTTGTCAAGGATTATATTTTACTTGAATCCATAACCAACACCCATGAAAGCCACAGTCAAATAAATCAAAAGAAGTGCTGCATTGGGGAAATCTGCTGTCGAGAACCTCTTTAATGTGTCAAAGAACAAAACTAGGCTACCAGTGCTCTCTTCTAAAGAACAAGGATGTTAATTTAAAGCGTAAAGTACATCTACCTAAGCTATGGCATTTTTAGTTGCTTCATACACATATAACTGTTTCACAATGACTAAGGAAGACTGAGGATGAGTTGATGTCTGAATTCTCGTGTTTGCTAAGAGTATTTAAAATGCCATGGGCTTCCAAAAGAATAAACAGATCTCTTCTGGAGGAAGTTCAATCAGAGTGCTTTTTAAGGCAAGAGTGGTTTGACTTTGCCTCGTATACTTCAGATATGTTGTCAAGAGAATCCAGTCTTTCAGTAAAGACTTTATGTTTGCAAGAGTAAAGTGTTGGTGAAGGAAAGGAAGAACCTTACGAGACAGATTGACTCTGTGACTGCAAGTAACGGTTTAAGTACAGCAGAGATTATGAGGAAAGGCTGGAAAATGTTTTGGCCTTTTGCCAAAATTGAGTTGATGACATCTAAAAAAATAAAGAAAATAAAGAAAAATGATCTTCTATGCTCCTGAACCCAGTGCATAGACATTCTATACAACTGAGAGTTAACTTTTTTATAAAAAAAAAAAATCCCTATTCACCAAAAACGGTTTCCAAAGGCTACTTATTTGGTAGGATAGACTAAAAAATAAGAAGGGAGAAAATAAAGTGATTTTGTGTTTCCTATTAAAGTGTGTACTCTGTGAGATTAAGGTTTGTCAAGAAAGGTACTTAGGGGAAAAATTGTATTACATACCATTCATTTAAAAGGTGTGCAAAAAGATTAGATTAATAAAAGCCACTGATAGAATAAAGTGAAACTAAATCTAACCTAACCTCTTTAGAAGAGTTTTCTTCTCTTCTCTTTATCTCTCTTCTCATTCCTGTTAAGCTAGCCAACACTTTGTCAAGTGTGACCTGAACATTTGTTTTTCCTTTACAGAATTTTACATAGTTTTTTTAACTAGAGAAATTTCATTTTGTTAAATTCATTGTATTTACCAATTGTAAGGATTATATTAAAAAATGAAAGGAATAATATCAATTATCATACCTCTCCATTAAAAAAACAGAAGATTGTAGAGACCAAAAGACCCTGGAAGGCAAGAACAGAATCATTTTATTCCAGATGAAAAAAAAAAAGATCATTATTATAAACAAGTTGTTACATACACATAAAAGATAAAGCCAACGAAACATGCAAATTTAAAGCCAAATTTTCCTAACTGCTTCCCCAATAACAAGAGAGCCATACCTGGTAGTGCATGAGGATGTGCATGATGTAGTCATATATTTCTTCAGCAGTCCTGCCCTCAGGTCGCCATGGTAACAGTACAAATTCAATTCCAAGCAATGGCACCAGGATAAGGGTTGCCCTCACAGCTTTCATGTAGAGATGAGATTCTGCTTGGTGAGTAACTTTTAATTTTGTGATGAGAACACGTACAATATTTAATAGGAAAAAGAGGTTAACCTAAAAGAAAAATAAGATCCATTTCATATTTACCATTAAGAAGCATTAGTGAAGGATATAAAAATTCATAAACGGAGGCTCTGGTGGTCTAGTTGGTAAGGGGTTACCCCACCAATTCAGAGGCAAATGGTTAAAAGCGTTAGCTGCTCTCAGACAAAAAAATAGGAAATCTTCCTTATGATTTATTTAAAGCCATTGAAAAACTACTGGAAGGCCATCTATGAGTTGATTTCTGATTGAACAGCATGGAATTTGAGGGTTTGTTGTTTGTTTTTTTTTTTGCATAGAATGCAAGAACATGTTACATTGAAGGGTTTATATATTTACCTAAGATTATTTGTGTATTTGAAGTTATTATTTATTCATTCATCAATACATAAGCTTTAAAATATTTGAGTTTTAGAGAAAAATATATGACTAAGCACATTGAGTTAAGATTGTCCTTTTGAACTACCATGAGAGTATTTTATTAACTTACTCTTTTATAAAATTTTAGGACTTAGTTATAGACACAAAGTTAATGTCTTTAATCATCTTCCACTCAAGCAAATAAAATAGTTTGTAACAAATATTGGAAAGGTTAATCACTTGTCTGCTTCAACCTCAGTGTTGGGGACTTTCCAAACACATATTATATGGTAAGAAACATTTAATCAAATTTTAGTTTCATAAAAACTCTTTAAGATAGTACTGTAATTCTATTTATCCTATGGGCAGGTGAAATGACACAATATTTTATTGTGAGCTACTTGTTGAGTCAACAATGCCTCATAGTGACCTTAGGAACCAGAGATCAAAACTTCATATTTAACAAAGATTATCCTATAACTGATTTTTTTTCCATTGGTGTTTATGTTAATGATTCTCTCCATAAACATATTTACTCTGCTTTTAATTATGTTCCCAAAGAAATAACATAAAAAAGACATAAACTACAAATATATAATGTGGCAATCAGAGTCCCAGACTTGTGTTGTGCTGAAACACATTTCCTTCCCGTGCTTATCCCACTCTCTCATTTTCACAGTCTCTAAGTCTGTCCTGCAGAGTGTGAAATCAAGTTGCTCCTTGAGGCTAAGATTTTGAAGCTCTGTCTCATATGCTTTGGGCATGTGACCAGGAAAGACCGGTCCTTGGAGAAGAACATCATGCTTGGAAGGTGGAGGGACAGCGCAGGAAAGGAAGACCCCAGATGAGATGAATTGATACAGTGACTGGGGCATTGATGGGCAGTGTGTCAGAATCAGGGGCACTGGCTCAGGACAGGGCAGGTTTCAGAGCTGCTGTGCACAGGGTCACAATGGGTCGCAGACAGCTTGATGACACACAACGACAACACACACATTACCTTTCCTCACTTTTGTCTTTACACAAAGCAGCCTCTTTTTACTTCTTATCCATGCCTACATATAATTATTGTTATTGTTTTGCATCATTGAGTGGATTTTGACTTAAAGCCACCCTGTGCACCAAAGCAGAACTGCCTCCCAATATCCCCCAGGCTAGAATATAAGGAGCTCAGAAGATTTTTTCTTACTTAGAGCCACTAGTGGGTTCAAATTGCCAATGTTTCTGTTAATAGTGATCATTTAACTGCTCTGCTGCCAGAGCTCTTTTCTACAGAATTATGGACATTAAATACAGGAGAGTTGCTGAAGGCCAATTACTTTCCTCCACACAACTTTAAGCAACTATTATTTATTTAATAATCTGACATCTTAAAACCACATACAGCAACATAATAGAATATAATAATGTAGAAACAATTAATTAATAAAATACTTTTGCTAACTTAAGGCATGCATTATGAAAATAATGGCCTAAAAATAAACCACTACTATTCTTAGAGAATTCAATACTTCAAAAATACATCACTAATCCTGATGGAAATATATTTATGAAATGTCACAGGTTTAAAGATCCAGTAATGTTTTGCTAAAGACGAAAGTTAAATAAACTGTTTTAACAGGTGAAAGAATGCAGTATGCCCAACCAGCATGCCAGATGTTATTCCAAGCATCTCAACATATTCTTATCCAGAGCATTCATGTCTGTTGTAAAAGTTTTGACTAAGAAGTACTGTCAACTTGTAGAAGGAGAGCTAAAAAGATTCTTTCATTTGCTTATACATTTATAAAATTTAGCATATTTTATAAGCTCAATTTAAACCATTATAAATTATGAAGTAACTATGATAAAAATAACAACAGGAAAATTAGAATTTGCATCTCTAGTTTATGAAAATTTCTGAATGAAAAGTTCTTAAAAAGCAAGTCTGATTTTGAAACTGGGTACTAGAATTGACGACAGGATTAGTACTAATGTTAGCCACTCCATAAATAGTTGTTCTAAAATGGTTGGACATTACTCTCCATGCCATTCTCCACATAACATAGTGTTGAGAATTATGATGTTATATTGCTTTACTTTCTGTATATAGTTTCATCTATTACAACAAAAAACAGAACAAAGATTTTATATTTCAAATAAACTATATCTGAACTTCTATTTTAAATAAAAACTATTTATTGTTACAGAAAACAGAACAAAAGTAAGAATATAACACTTATCATTTATCTTATGCTTTTAAATTTAATATAGTAGGCATAGACTATCTTTCTAAAATGTTCTAACCATGTTGATACTGCACAAAAATTACATTTGTAATTTATGTTTATTATAACATTAAAAACAACATAACATTAAAATGAGGTGCATTTTGAAAAATTAAACTAGATGTCTCACTTGAATGTATTAACTAAAATAGAACAGAATCTTAAGAGCAATTATAATCACCAACAGGCATTGCTCTAAAAAAACAAAACAAAATTCAACTAAATGGTTTTTTAAAATAAAGAGAAAAAGAAGTTGTATTTCCTCTTTCACTTTGCAACTCAACTCCAAAACCCTATTATCAATATAGAAATACCTAAAGCAAAGGAACCCAGCTTCTGACAAATTATTCCACAATATGAAGTTTTAATGTTTGTAGATACAGAACTGCTGAGCTCAATGCATGCTGATAAATACCACAGGAAAAACTGTTTCATAGAAACTTTAGCATTTATACTATTTCATTCAAGTTATTACCAGAAAGCTAAGCTAAGCATTACTAGTACTATTTTATCATGAGTGAGTTCTACTCTCTTTACTTAACATCTGAAGGAGACATATGTAGCTGGTTTCCTCTGGAATTTGATTGTCATTTGAGCATTTCCTACCATAGTCCAAGCATGATCACTGCATTGGAACAGATGGGGGGAAGAACTGTCTGAAAGGAGTGTATGATAGACATTACATGTATGACAACAATCTGGAATAGAAGGTGCATTGCAAAGTGGACTAGGGGAGGGGAAGGAGCGTGGGAGGAAAGAATTGTGCATCAATGAAGGAATAAAAGCAAACAAACAAATGAAAAGAAATTAAAAAAAAAAAAAAAGGAATACCGAGGATGTTAAACCTTTTGTTATGAAGCCATTCTGGGCCTCTGTAGTACTACTATAATCATATGGAATTATAGTTTTCAGAAAGGGTAATCAATTGACATTGATTAGATAATTACTTCTCTTATCTGATCTATCTTCTTTAGATTAGTCTATGAGGTCATGCAGAAAGTATTGTATTTAAAAACTCACACACCTTTGAATTAGTTCATTCAAAATAGTCACACTATAATTGCTGTTGGCTATTAACATTAAATAATTTTTTTAAGTTTAAGCTTTGCTTCCACATGTCAAAGACAGTATAAAAATGCTACATTTTTGAAATGTTGTTCATGGGGTAATTAAAAAAAAGGAAATGAACAATTTGCTTTTCTCTTTTTCCTTTTCAAAAGTATCCCATAATCATATTATGATCAATGGAAGGAAAAATGGTTACAAAGAACAGCACTTTTCTTCTATGACTTCTATTTCAAATATATATTAGTTAATTTGAAACTCTTTTTAGAATCTAAAAAGAAATATTTTCTATTATTTTAATAAATTTTAAGTTTAAAATGCATTTTTAAATGAATATGTGCCATATGTTGTTACATGGAAGAAATATAGGAAATCTCCTCCTGTGCACTTTATAGCCTCTTAAAACCTCTAAATGGTAGTGATGAATATATTTCAATGTCACAACACAACAACAACAGTACTATATCATAGAAAAGTATCTTAAACATTTTATTAAATCACTCCTCCACAGATGACTTTTCGTATGAAGTTTTGACTTTACTGGCCATTCTAAACAAAGATGGACAATCTCCTCCTACAAAAACTTACAGTCCAAGAAACCCAATTGAAAGTCTCTGAATTAGCATTAACTTAATAGCAGTGGATATGTGCCTTCTAATTTTTCATAAATTGTATTATGTCATATAGACAGAAAGTGCAAATTGTGATTAAACCCAGATTTCTATTTTGCAGTTTCTGCACTAAATATATCTGTATAGCTGTCACTGCAAAAGAAATAATGTGTATGCCAAATATCAAGAAAGGGTTTAAGAAACATTAGTAATTGGGGCAAAAGGAGTCTGCTTGAAAAAAAAAACACCAAAATAAAACAAATAAAAATTGTCCAAGTTTATCAACACCAAATATGTCACAAAATTATGACAAAACTATAAAGAAAAATTTGTTACTATTCTCATATATTTTTCCTATTTTTTTCTGCATGTTTTCATTTGTCCTTTCTAGGAAAAAAAAGTCTCAAATCTCTTTATAGAAATTAAAATTCAGTTTTTCCTTCCTTCACAGTTGTTTGAAATTATTTTTACGTTATTGGTTTAGAAAATATTTTTTCAATTGATTATTCAATTTTTCATCCAGAATAGCATTCAAAAGTTTAAGAGTGTTGTCTTCTTATATCAAGTTTATTTCTTATACAGTTATATTTAGAAGTTTGCATAAAATGGTTTCTAGTTTCCTGCAATTCAAACCTGAATTTACTTCTTCAGCACCAATAAAGTTCTAAGAGCTGACAAGCATGACCGGGCACTCTCAATTACTCTTTGGTGATTACAGGGAGCAAAGTAAGTCAGTGCAATGGTGCATGGAGGACTCATTGAAGTTATGTGTGTTCTAGAACTACATCAGCAATAACTTACCTCCACATATGTTCTAAATATCTCTCAATGTAACCAAAGTAAATGTCTTTTCTCTCAACTCCTTAAGAGAATCTCAAAAATGTGGTAGCCACCCAAATGCAAAGGGAATTGTGACAAAGAGGAAGTTTGAGTAAGAATAAACTAATTGCAATTGAACCATACGATTGATGAAAATCATACAAAAACATGATCACACACGGGGCAAGGACTGCTTCAGTATGAAAGTGGTTTGGACAACAAAGAGGTCTTTTAAGTAACTTTGCTGCTTTTTGTCCAAAGGCCATTTAACCTTTTAGGAAGATAGGCACCGAATCATTTTCAGGATAAGAAGGTGGAAAAATATTATTCAAATAATGTGGATTTTCACTTTCTTTCTTTTTGAGCAGACTGTCTCATTTACTCTTCCCTCTCAAAGTCAGGTGGTTAACAGAAAGCCCTGCAGTTTGAACCCACCTTTTATTCCTAAAAAGAAAGATGGGTACCTTACTCCAGCTAGCCTCTATAACCGTGTGGAAGGTCCACATGAGATGGAAACTAGACGACAGTGGATTTTGTTTTTGGCATTGGGTTCAAAGTTGATGGAAATAGGTTCTCTTATGGACTATATTGTTATTGCTAGGTGATAATGAGTTGACTCCAACTCAAAGGCCATCAGAGCTCTTATTGTTGTGTTGTTGTTACATACTGTCTAGTTAAATTGCCATATAGTTGAACCTCCAGCAGGTTATCAGAAGCAGTAAATTGCACAAGAGGCAATTTCTCCTGCAGAGCAGGTGGTGGATTTGAACCACACATCTTTGGGTTGGCAAAACAACCCTTTACCACTCAGCCACCAATGTTCCCTGGCTGTTTGTTATAATTCTTATGTGCATCATGTTGCCTGCAGCTCAAAGCAACAGCTATGAAGCTCTGTCCTTAACCAATCTCACTGACTCTGACCTACCTAACCCCATTGCCCCAGTTACTGTATCACTCCATCTCATCACGGATCTTCCCCTCCTACACTGTCTCTTGTGAGCATGATGTCCTTCTCGAAGGACCAGTCCCTCCTGGCCATGTGTCTAAAGTGTGTAAGACAGAGCTTCAGTATTTTTCAGGCATTAAGTCCTTTAATTCCTATACTGAAAACTTCAACGTTGCTATTATGATAGTTTTCATTTAACAAATGAAGAAATTGAAGGAGGAAATTATGCAACAATGGATGAATAATTAATTAAAAAAGTGAACTGGAGGAAAGAGAAGGGAGAAGTAGGGAAAGAAATATGCAAAAATGAATGAATGAAAATGTAACCTTTTGTAAACTTTTGTTAAAAAACACAATAAAATATATTAATTATTTAAAAAATGAGATATTGAGACAGAAAAATTACATAAACCACATCAAGTAACATGAGGAAGTCATATTCAATACCAGAGATATGAGAATGGTTTGAACAGTGCTATATGCTAAATTAGTATAGCAAAATAATGAAGGGACTATCATTAAAAAAAATTTGGTTGGAAAAAGGAAAAGAGCCTGAAAGCTTTGAATTTTAACTGAGAAACATATCATCTTTGTCTTCATATATATAATACCTGCTATAATTATCAGTCTAACAGACTACAAGTAAGTTATGATCCCTAATGCTGTATGAGAATTTTATTTACATACCAGTAGAGCAGCACAAATTGGGCCATGAATGATGTAAAGGAGATGAGTATCAGAACTGATCCAGCAGCTAGGGGAGAAACACAGGGAAAAATAGGTTGAAGAATTTCATTTTACTTTGTTTGAAGGAAAAATTATAAGGATATATAATTGTCTTACTTGTCATTATAATATATGCTTCTGGCAACAGCGTGTATGCAAGCAGGAATCATTGGAAATCCTGTGGATATCAATAAAAAAAAATAAATAGGCAAATTCACCTATGATGGAACTCCCAAATATTACCTAAAACCTCAAAATCAAAGATACCTTGAAAGCAAAATAACTGGTCAACATCCATTTACTATATAAATGTCATGTCAATTAAGATAAAGTACTCAGTGAATGTGTGTTTGTGTTTGTGTGTGTGAGTATATTTTGTTCTAATCTGTCATTTGGAATTAGTCTGATCTAGAAAACTAAACCTGTGTGATGTGTAAGCCTTGAGGCTTAGAGGAAATTAATTTTATTCTGTAAAATGGAATTGGTCAATTTTAACAGATATTAGAAGGTTAACATTAGAGTTTCCATTGGGAAGATACAGAAGTCACAGTAATCCCTTTATTTGTAATGTAAGAATAGAATTTATGTACCAGAAATTTGTACTTTGACTTGAACATCTCAAATCAAACCTTTCAAATATTAAGATATTCCAATCAAAAGTAATCGGAACTTGCTAACAAATGTATACATATGTATGTATGCATGCTTGTCCACATTTAAATCTAACTGTACATCTGCATCTATACTTATAGCTATATATCTAGCTATATAGGTATCATTTCAGTTATATTTCTGGAATGGAACAATCTTTATTTATCTACATTTTATATTTTACATTTGTCTTTGTTTTTGATGTTAAAACTGTATCTTTGTTTGCTTTTTGAATAATAACAGGTCAAATCAAATTTATGGAAAGGTATCTCTGTAGATCTGGTGGCCTAGTAGTAATTAGCTGCACTGCAATCCCAAACACACACAGTCCAAATCCACCAGCTACTCTGTAGGAGGAGGATGGGCAATCTCTTCCTGTACTGCCTCTGAAAACCCACTGGAGGGTCTGTTATGGGTCAGTTCCAACTTGATGGTACAACAAACAACAACAACATTCATTTATCAATCCCTATATTTTAACAAAGAAGCCCTAGTATCATAGTGTGCGCAGGCTGTGTGTGGACCACTAATTGAAGGGTCAATAGTTGAAGTCTCCCAGACACACAAGGGAGAGAAATAGGCAGTTTCTGCTCACAAAGACTAACAGCTTTGGAAACACCAATGTGGGTTGTCATGAATTGACATTCACCCATTGCTCATGAGTTTAGTTTGGTGTGTACTATTAGCATGGGGGGTGGGAAATCCCAATTCTTTTTTAAAAGAAATACTTTTACAAAATTAATTAACTTTTATAAAGTTTTTTGCTGCTACTTAAATATCTTCACCCCCCCTTGTTAAACTCATTATCTTCATATTTTAAAAGGGATTCAAGAATATCAAGACAAAATTACTTACTCATAATTTGAATTCCACTACTTATTTACTACATATTCAATCAAGATTTACTAAATTATTGGAATAACAAACAGAAAAATAAAACTACTACTGTTGTACCACTGATTGATTTGCATTCATGGATAATTTGGTGAAAATCCATCTACTTTAAGTAGGTTTAAAGTAAAAGCAAAAGGTTTATATTTGACTTTCTTTAAAAATAATTAGCAATAATGATTCTCAGGAAACATTTACAATGAGGTGAAGCCTCAGTTCTGTGTAATGAAACTTACCCCAGCCAAGAAAATAATACCACATGAGGTGCTGCTTCTCAGCAAACACAGCCACCACAATGAGAGTGTGTAGGTGAATGCCTTCACACAGCATCCAAAAGTAATTACAGCCCAGCAGGTACAGATGAATAAACTGGGACACTTTACAGCTCACCTAGGATAAGGGAAAGAAAAAGCAAGTTATAGTTAGCTGCTTATGAAGTCACTCATAAAGCAGTAACTTTAGTTTTGTAGGGACAAGGATTTATTTTCTCTTGTGCACAGTATTGTTTATACATCAATGATTCACGTGTGTAAAATGTCAGCCTAGCTAGTGGTGAGTTTAACTTGTCACCACAAACAACAGATTTATAACGTTATAATTTGTTTATTCTGTTATTAACCTATAAATGTGTACATATACACAAAGACAAAAAAATATGAATGCGAGATTGTGGGAAGGGCAGAGGACAGGGTTTCAGGGTGACTGTTGTTCAGGGAGGCTAGAATCCATAGTCGTCAGCTCAATGGCACCTAACAACAGCAACAAATTCTTCGTAATTTACGAAATACATACAAAAGCTCAAACTCAAGATCGTTGCTGCCGCGTTGAAATTTTATTCATAAGTGACCCTCCCGTGGATTTTCTGAAGCCAAAAATCACATGGGAGCTCGCCCATGTCTCTCCCACGCATCTGCTCGGGAATTCCGATTGCCTTTGGGTTAGTATCTCCCTAGGGACTTCCCTGCCACAGCTCCCTCAAGAAATATACATGAGCTAGTTATTTTTGCCTAGAGAATATTTGGCTTTCACATTTCCAAATTTACTAAATAAAGGCCATGCACTTATGGAGACTTGACTTCATTAATCACTCCAACTGGGGAAAGATGGGCAGTTTGCTCCCATTAAGATTTATAGCCTTAAAAACCCCTGTGCAGACTCAGTCCATGACCAGTCAGAATTGACAGAATTGGAGGACGGTGAGTTTGGGTTGGGACTTATTGCTGTTTAAGTAAACACAGATTTTTACTATGTCTTGATTACTATCTAAGTATAAAAATTTCACACTTCTATTATTTATGTATTAACATTTTTTTAAAATATCTTCGTGTAAACATTCTTTTTACATTTCTCTGGTAAAACATAAATATACTTAAGAATAATTGATGGAAATGACTCAAACTTTGGAAATTTTGCAGATTACAAAGTATCAGTGCAAACACACAGCAAGTCTTGGGAGGCCATGATTTCAGTTATTCAAACAAGGGACTTGAGGGTTTTATATAAGCAAACAGAAGAAAATTTTATAGTTTCCCTTCCTGTTTTCTCACTTTCTCTTTTTTACTTTTAAGGAAACAGGAAGTGAGTGGTTCAAATATAAAGAAAACAGAAGGGAGTAGACCTGTAGCTTACTCCTAAACAGAAGTGATAAATTTAAAACGATTATAATCAACATATATTGTTTGTTGTTGATGTTATGTGCCATCGAGTTGCTTGCAACTCATAGCGACCCTATGTACAGCTACCCTAAACCCTGCTCTATCCTGTGCCAATTGCACTGCCTCTGACACACCCCTCCCAATTACCCCAGTCCCTGAATCAATCCACATCATGGAGGGTCTTCCCCTCCTGCACCTGTCCCTCCACCCTCCCAAGCATGATGTCCCTCTCCAAGGACTGATCCCTCCTTACAACATGTCCAAAGTATGTTAGACGGAGCCTCAGAATCCTTGCCTCCAAGGAGCCGCCCAGTTTAACCCTTTCCACGATGAATCTGTTTGTTTTCCTAGCAGTCCCTTGTACCCTCAACACTCTTCTCTATCACCACAGCTCAAAGGCATCAATTCTCCTTCTATCCTCCTTAGCCATTGTCCAACTCTCTAATGCATAATAAGTGACAGCAAAGACCATGGTCTGTATCAGATGCACCTTAGTCTCCAGAGAGACACCACTGCTCTTCAGAACGTTGGAAAGGTCCCTCACAGCAGACTTTCCCATCTCAATATGTCTTTTAATTTCCTGGCTACTGGTGCCAAGAGTTTTGACTGTGGATCCAAACAAACTAAAGCTGTGAACAGTCTGAATCTCTTCACCATTCATCCTGATGCTGCCAATTAGTCCAGTGGTGAGGATTGTAAAACTTAATAAATAATAAACAGGGTGTGGTTTTTTAAAAATATTTTTCTATTTTTATTTCACTAAATAGAAATTTGAAAATAAAATTCACTTTAAAATATTTAGTTATGATTGAATGGTAATAATAGCCTTTGGTTTACGTAGTGTTTTTACATTTATAATTTTGTTTTTTGAACTATTAAAACAATTTCAGGATCCTTAAAATAATTTTGTGTGACACGCACTTTCACTATATAGATGTTTTATGTGTTTAAAAAACCCATGTATTGGAAAAGTAAATAATTTTCCAATTATACTTCTAACATAAGTCTTGTGATTCCATTCTGTTTTCACAACTATACCCAAAGCTTCCTTATGGGAAGATATTTGTAAAACCTCCTTCACAGGGTCACTATGTGTCACCTGCGACTTGACGGCACTTAACAACAACAACAACAATTTCTTCACTAAATATGTCTGAAGGAATGCATTGCATTTGAATTTGAATAATACACTTACATATAAAACACAACATTAACAAAGTGCCTTGGGAAAGGATAAGAGTAAGTTATTCAAGTAAATTATATAGAAATTATAGACTTCAACTTTCTTACCTCTATACTTTAAATGTGTTTTAGGAATTCACATCTATTTGAAATTCTAATTCCTGACTTCATTAAGAAAATAATCGATCAACAGTTATGATAAAATTTAAACCATACTTCAGAAATAATTATGATGTAGGATAAACAGCCAATGTATTTTTTCAAAAAATATTTAAAAATACTAGTTTGCAGTTTGCAATATGTGGGATGAACAAAATACCCTTGTATATAAATACAAGGATTGAAATATGTTGCTTTGCAGCTTTTACAACCAAACTTGAAATCTCTTTGTCCTACAGTGATTCACTGTGAAACCTCAGGACCTGGGCCAGACTTTCATATTGCTAATTATACTCCACTCTGTTTCCTTTCCTGGTGACTTTAGTGGAATATATACAAGATTAAGCAATCCGGATGCACATGTGCAAACAATGCGGAGAATGTTGGAAAAACCCTAAAAACACAAAGTGCATGTGAGAGTGTTGTTTATTGACCAATTGAATGAAAATTCCTCCCCTTGCCTGCTTTAAGTATCTACATATCTTACATATAAACAAATACTTTATATGCACGCATATAAATCCATGTCCAATATACATGTGTATATTTGCAGAATGCATTATAAACTTTATTAGTGCAGATTATTTTAAAAATGACCATGTGTGCTTAAGGTACACATACAGGTATTTTTGTTTAAATGTAGTTTATAATGCATGTAGCATGAATAAAATACATAAACCGGTACAGACTTAACTCATGTTCTTAAAAAACAGCTTTTATGATATAGTAGTATTTTTGCTTTCTTTTGCAAATCTGTTCATTCTTATTTTTTTAATTGTGCTTTCAGAGATTGGAAGAAAACCATTTTTAAATATTTTTCTACCAAATGAGGACTGTATAGATACCTTTGAATTTTAATTTAATAAAGCTGAATACGATGTAAGGAATATATAATTCCTTTCTCTTTCTGTTTTTACTTTTTTATGTCAGTCTGGTATCAAAAGGATATTTTGTGATTAATTTATTTTTTTCACTTTTAAGAACTCTTTTGGTACTGAGGTGTTTTGACTTACTTTTTAAAATGCTCATTTTATAAAGTCACACATGTTACATATTCATAAACTAATATCTTACTAGTTGCAGGATGCTATACATTCAAAATGATATGGAGATGTTCTAGAATATAATAAGCAGAGACATTTGGTTTTTTCCCCTTTAATAGTTAATCATTTTACATTTGAGAATGTTGGGACTCATCTTGTCAAACTAGAAAGAGCTAAATACATTCTCTACATGTCAAGACTTAAAATATATGGATATATCTACTTAATTTTATATATATATATATAATACAAATACAAGGCCCTTTCTCCATCCGTTGAGTGCAAGCTTGTTTTACTTACAGGATTTGAAGCCACGAGGGCCTGGTTGTTGGCAACTGCAGTGAGGTGAATAATTGTCATAATAGAGGTACAAATGAAAGAGAAGAACAGATTTTTGTGCAAGGTAATCCTTTGACAACTTAGGCTCCTACAAGACATGAAAAAGCAAAGTGTGTTGACAGCATACAATATTCACATACTTTTTCTATTAATAATCATTCAAATAAATATATTCTCAGCTCATAATAATTTTCCTACCTTAAAATAAAATCTTAGAGAAAACCTGGAATTCTTTAAACATAGAGGCAAATTAGTTCCATCAGTGTAATTGGCATGCATAGGGATGGAACTCTTGCCTGTACAAAAATTCTGCCTAATTATTTTTTTTGTTTATGTCTAAATAAGACAAATGCTTTAATTAATTTTCAAAGAGTACATATCCAGTGAAAATTAAGTGATTGGCAAAAGCTGGTTTAGATAGGAAAAAAGAAATTAGCAGTTCTTATTTTATTACACCATGTCGTTTGTGCTAAGGAGTCTTAGTGGCAGTAGCATATAATCTATCAGGCTTCTAATTGAAAGGTTAGCAATTTGAATCCACTAGGTGCTCCTTATGAGAAAGATGAGTGGGCTCCACCCGTATAGATTTTCCATCAGAAACTGGATGTTGTTGTTATTATGTGCCAGTGAGTCACTTGCAACTCATAGTGACCCTATGTACAAGAGCCCTAAACCCTGATCTATCCTATGGCAACTTCCCTGTCTCTGACACACCTACTCCCATTTCCCCAATCACTGACTCATTCCATCTCATCGAAGGTCTTCCTCTCTTGCGCTGTCCCTCCACCCTCTTAAACATGACGTCTCCTCCAAGGATTGGTCCCTCCTTGCAACATGCCCAAAGTATGTCAGATGAAGCTTCAGAATCCTTGCCTCCTAGGAGCATTCCAGCTTCGCCTTCTCCAGGACAAACTTGTTTGTTCTCCTAGAACTCCAAGGTATATTCAACACTCTTCTCTGGTACCACAGCTCAAAGGCATCAATTCTCTTTCTATCATCCTTAGTCATTGTCCAGCTCTCTGAAGATAGCACAGAATTGTGAAGACTATGGCCTCAACCAGGCACACGTTAGTCTCCAGCCTGACACTGATGCTCTTCAGTACTCTGGAGAGGTCCCCAACAGCTGACCTTCCCAATGCAATTCGTCTCTTGATTCCTGGCTCCTGGTACCAAGAGGGTTGATTGTGGAGCCAAGAAAACGAAAACTGTTAACTGTCTCAATCTTTTTCCTATCCATAATGATTCAGCCAATTGGCCCAGTGGTGGAAATCTTTGTTTCTTCATGTTGAGCTTCAATCCATATTAAAGAATGCAGTCCTTGACCTGCAGCAAGAACTTGATAGAGGGTTGCTAGAAGTCAGAATTGACTCAATCACAATGGGTTTGGAGATCTGGGAAGTTTTAAGTTGTCCAGGTTATATAGGTCTTTTGTTTTTGTAATTATGGGTAAGGAAATCAGTCATAAGAAAGATGAGTTTCTATTTAGAAGAGATAAGCTGATGACATGCGAAGCAATGGATGAGAATTTTTTCACTTCCATGATTATTTTTTCCTAGTTGCTCCAGACGTACGTATGATAAAACATAGAATAAAAAATTCTTCCTAGATAAAATACTAGTACTGGCTTTATGGAATTCATTTAGAAGTAGATCTCAAAAAGAGTTGTGGTTAATTGTAAACTAAACTCTTCTTCAGATTGAATCTACCTTAGGAGAGATGCTGATATGTGAATATTTTATCCATAACTCAACAGTCAAGTCAAATGCCTATGGCTATCTTATGCACATTCCTGCAGGACATCATACTTCACAACTTACTGTGGATAAATATTTTAAATAATAAATGAAATCTACTTGCAATCTTATATTCAATATGAAAATCAAACCAACTCAAGGAGAAAAAAAGAAATTATTTTTCTTATTTCAAAAAAACTTATCTAACTAGTATGGTCAACTTACTATAAACCAGCCTGTACAATTCACATCAAACACTTCTAGTATGGAAATGTTGAGAGTTTCTCTAAGAGATTATCATAAATAAACTATATGCATATAATTTGGCTTGGGTTCAAGGTTTTTTTACTTTAAAAAAGTCAGTGCAAAGTTCAGCTAATATTATCTCTGAATTTTCTTCTAATTATTTTATGTTTAGCAGCAATATCTTAAAGGAACCTGGAATTATGAAAATGCCAAAAATTGTTTCTAGATTGTAGGTAAAATGTAGGGAGCTCTAGCAGCGGCCTAGTAGTATGAAACTGCTGCAAACCCAAGGCATGTGGCTTGACTCCACCAGCTGTTCTGCAGAAAAAGGGTAGACAACCTCCTCCCATGTGATTGGCTTCCTCTGGAAATCTGCTGGAGGGTCAGCTGTGGGTCAGTTTTGACTTGAGGACACATAACAACAGCAAGAAGTAAAATGAAGCTGGGCTCCATTAAAAAAAAAACCAAAAAACAACAAACAAAAAACAAAAAACCAAAATAGCTGGGAACAACTATTCTTTTCATAATGAAGAGTCAATATTGATTAACCACACAGTACATGAGGAGTAGTGTGAGGGTGCAGGAAGGTCTGCAGCAAGTGTTTCAGGTCCTCCTCAGTTTCAGCAAGCAGGGTCGGGAACATTTTTAAGGAAATGGATAGAACAGTAATTTAACGATGAGCATAAGCATGTTTGAGATTGTGAGAATGACACAGGATCTGGCAAGGTTTTGAGAAGCTTATGACAAAGGGTACTAATGATCAGTGGCTACTTGATAGCATCTGTCATTATTTATTATTGAGTTAAATAGTGCATAAAGACCCAATGAAAAACAGATTTGAACCTTGTCATATCATATCATGTGCTGTTCTCATCATCTCTGACACACTTGAGCTTGTTGTCAGTCACTTTATCTGTCTGGAGTTATATATTTATATAGTATATCATGCATATAAGGCATGCTGTATACATAATGCAAGAAAAATTGATTATAAATATTTCTAACATATATTAATCAACTACTAACATCAAAGATTAAATTGAGAAACAGTAGCATTTGACTGTATAGATCATAAAAAAAATTAGGTAACATTAAGAGGAATCAGAATCCAAGAACACTTAATTATCCTCATGGGAAAACTATACCTAGACCAAGAAGTAGGTATCTGCAAAGAACAAGGGAACATGGTTTAAAATTAGAAAAGTGTGTGTCAGAGTTATATTCTTTATCTACATCTTTTCAATATATTTGATATGCAAATTATTCAAGAAATTGGACTATAGAAAATAGAATGTGGTATTAAGATTGAAGGAAGATTCATTAACAATGTACATTATACAGATAATATATGATTATCAGCAGAAAGTAGGAGGACTTCAAGCACTAACTGTGGAAAATGGATTGACACAGTGCCTGTAACAATGGACTTGGGTATGACAGAGATTGTTAGAATAGTACAGAATAGAAGCAGGCTATCAGATTTTTGAGTCAAAATCAAATAAATAAAAAACACCTACCAACTATAACCACCAACTTGTCTTTAGTATGAAATTGATTGAACAAGCAATTAAAAGATGCATTAACAAAAATTGGTGACAGGAATAAAAAAATTGGAAACAAAGATGAAAGATTGATAGTTGAAAAATATGTCCTTGGTGATAGAAATGAGACTGAAGAGGTGGAGATAGAAATTTGTACAATGTATGATTTATTCAAATATATATATTAGTGCTTAACTTTTCAGCAGTTTTTTTCATTTTTATTAATTTTAATGAAAATTTACAGAGATTTTGGATTTCCATTCATTTACTGTTGCACTTTTCTTTCTGACCACCCCTCCCCCACCCAGTTTTAATGCCAATATATTTTTAAACAAAACCATGGAAGACAAATGTACACACGGACCTCATATAATGTGCTACACAGTAATCAGACTGACTACATCTGTCGCAAGTATGCGGTTAACCTTTTCCATTTATTGATACGTATCATCTGAGTTTTAGTGTCCTAGTGCATTACATGTTGGTCTGCTAACCAAAAGTTTGGCAGTTTAAATTTACCATGCCTTTCCCAGGAGAAAGAGATGGCAGTTTTCTCCCATTAAGAGTTAAAACATACAAAAAAAAGAAAAAAAGTTAAAACATCAGAAAACCAAGGGACTATCACCAGAAATTGGAATTAATTGAATGGCAGTGAGATTAGTTTGATTTTTTTTGATCCCCAAGCCAACAAATCTGAGTTCTTTAGCTTCAGATTTTTTTGTTTACATAAAAAAGGAGGCTAGACTATATCCTATTACTTCTCTCACTCTAAAGTTCTCTATAAGAACTTAAAAAGTTTTACACTGTAGAAGCATAATTGTTCCTTCCAGCATGTTCCATTAAAGTCTGACTTACTGCCAGGGATCTCACCTGCTGACACAGTAAGACTCCTAACTGGGAGCATTATTAACATTGCAATGTCACGTGGAGGGGGAAAAATTTTGTTCATAAATTCCATGAAAGTGTGCTGCTCTATTTGGGGTCCTGGTTGCAAACTCATTATTTATGCTGTGTACAGTAGGCCATCAACATATCCCACTGGGAAATTAGTTTGCAATTTAGAATCATTTCAAAGTACAAGCAATTTTCAAGTCGTTTTCCGAGGTTAAATGAGAACTCATTGTTTTCTGTGGGCTTAGGGGTAATTTTCCCTCTGTTCCCTCCTCCTCAATGCTTCTACTATGTGTTCTTAATTTTTCTTTCTGAAATACCCTTAGTGCTAAATCTTTTTTCTTTTTCTTTTTTTTTTTTTTTACATCTTTGAAAGCCAGTAAATGAAATGGTATCTGTTATATTTTCTTTCTTGCTGGGACTTCTTAAGTACCTTTCTTTTGAGTACTATTTTTATTCATAGAAGACTCCAGAGAGGTCTCCTTTTTCTCTACAAATGGGATTGTTTGGCTAACACAGAAGAAATTTAGAAGCAATGGGTGACATCTTGCTCTTGTCCCTAAGTGGATATCCTTCTTACTGCAGGGATCATGTCATTAAACAAAGGTTCAGGCAAACTAGCTGAGGGAAGGAGTATCCCTATAATAAGTCTAGGTAATGTAAACTGGAGTTTCTAT